CATACAAACAATTGTTTTGCTAGATTCAGATGCTTTAGCGATTGAAAGTAACGATGCAAAAGAATTTGTTAGATTGTTGTGCAGACTTTTTTTTCGTTTTTTTTTAACTGTTTCAATCACAATCATTTAATTCATAGAAATATTTTGACTTGTTTGTTGATGTTTTTAATTAATACTATAATTACTTAAAGTAATTACGCAAAAAAAAAAATACATTAAAAATGTGTTAGTGACAAGTCTTAAAACGAAAATCATCGTTTCAAGTTTTACGATCGCATGCTTTAATATAGTTTTAAAGATATGAATAACCTTTGATCATTATATCGCGCATCAAATAGTTAACAACATAGTATCAGTATAAAAATATAATTTAAAGCATATAATTCGGATTTTAAAAAATCTCTTTTTTATTGTTATAATACAAATACTCTTAAATAAAAAAGGTTTCACTTGAGTGACACTCCATTAAACCTAAACTCATCTCTGGTCCACAGTGTGCTTCATTAAAAAAAGTGTAAATTAATGGAAATTAACGGAAGAAGAGTTTAATTTATCATTAACTTTGACATACTGCTCAAGACCCGGAAGAACAATTATTCACTTTTTGTTGGATTATGTAAAATATTTACAGTAATATTATAAAATTTTAAATTTTTTTTGTTGCTTAATATTTTGTTTAACTTATTTGACATTTATTTTTAAAAGAAAAATTTAACGGGCCCCTAAAATGGTAAAATGGGTTTATGTCCCCCTCAATTTTACCCTTTGCCCCATTTGTGACCCTTAGCATTTTTTTTTAACTTTAAAAACGTTATTTTCTATTTTTATTAAACAAATACTCTTGATTAATTTTTTTTTTGTAATTTGCAACTAGCACACATAAATGGGCTTATGCCCCCCTTGTGTTTACCCTTTTGCCCCATTTATGACCCTTAGCAATTTATTCGGATTTTAAAAAATCTCTTTTTTATTGTTATAATACAAATACTCTTAAGTAAAAAAGGTTTCACTTGAGTGACACTCCATTAAACCTAAACTAATCTCTGGTCCACACTGAGCATATTAAGAAATGCTATTATAAAATAGTATTTTGTTGAGTACAAAATCGTTAAAATAATCATTTTTTTACGTTTTGGTAAGACCGAAACTGTTAGAAAAAATACTTAAAAAAAATAGAAAATCAATATTAAACAATAAACGAATAAAGTTTGTCTAGAGTAAAAAAATAAAAAATATACATTCTATTCCTTTAAAAAAAAACATGAGGGACAAGAGCCGCTTGATATTTGCAGTTCCGGCTCCACCAAAAAACAGCGGCTCCCCGGCTCCGGCTCTGGCTCGGCTCAACAAGCCTGCTATTGACAATATTTTAAAAAACAACTCTTATAATTCTGAATTTGAATCTGGTATTTTATTTGCTGATTTTTCTGATCATTTCCCTATTTTTAAATGTATTTTTGATACTGTCTGTCCCATAATAACATCAGAAGTAAAAAATAAAGAATTTAAAAATCCATGGATGACGAGTAATCTTATAAAATCGTCTAAACGAAAGGAAAAACATTATATAAAATTTTTGAAATCAAAAGATGAAGGTGATGAAAAAACATACAAAGCCAATAAACAGTTTTTTCAAAAAAATATTAAATATCTATCTGAGTAACGGAAAGCAGTTTGTAATTAACAAAGAGTCAAGTGTTCTTGATATTGAGTGTGGGGTCTCTCAAGGCTCAATCTTAGGACCGTTATTGTTTTTAATTTACATCAATGATATGCATAAAGCATCATCTATAGTATCTTCAATAATGTATGCTGATGACACAACCTTATTTTATAATCATAGTAATTTAAAATCGATGTTCGGAACAATGAATACTGAACTGGAAAACTTTAATTCATGGTTCAGAGCAAATAAACTATCCTTTAACTGTGAAAAAACTAACTACATCTTATTTAATAAAACAGGTCAATCAATGTCTCTACTTTTAAAAATTCCAGAATTGCTCATTAACAACATAACGATAAATCAGGAAAAATATGCAAAGTTTCTGGTGTTCAAATTATGAAAATTTATCATGGAGAAATCATATTGGACACATAGAATCAAAAATATCATCTGCAATAGATGTTTTATATAAATGTTGCCCGTTTCTTGATTTCTATTCAAGAAAAAAAACTTTACTTTAGTCTAATTCACATTTATCTTGCATATGCTAATATTGTGTGGGATAATACACACAAAACAAAATTAATCAAACTACAAGGCTTGCAAAACCATGCTTGTAAAGAAATTCATTATCTAGGCAGAATGGACAATCCTTTCAATGCGATGACAAATATGAAAGTCTTAAACTTGGAAAAACTTAGTTATATCAGATTCTTATTTTTATGTTAAAATATAAAAATAAAATGCTACTAAATTCTTTTTTAGACATATTTTCGTCATCATTTTCTCAAAGTTGTAATCTGCGATCAAATAACTTCCATAACTATTATATTAAAAATACTAAAACCTGGGATTCTGAATTTTCAATTATGTCACAGGGTCCCAAAATATGGAAAAACTTGACAAACCAAATATTAGAAGACTTAAATGGAATATCGTTGTTTAAACAGTAAGCAAAGCTGCATATTATTAGTTTGTAAAAATGATTGTAATAAATTTAAAATAAAATTTTAAAAAGTAAAAAAAAAAAATTATATATATATATTAGGGTGGGTCATAAAAATTTTTTTTACAGTTGCTAACCTGGCTATGGTCTAGAAAGTTGTTTTTTATGTACTAATTTAGGAAAGTATTTACTTTTATGGATTGAACAATGTCTTCCACCCGCAACTATAATTACAAAAATTAGCAGGCCCTATTATTATTCAAAAAAAAAGTTTTTTAAATATATGTGATGTAAGTACTCAAATAAAGCGAAATTTTATAAAAATTTTAAAAATAATAATTTTTTCATATAAAAATTTTTATTTTAGATTTTATTGCATAATAACTATAGTTTTTTAACTAAAAGTGAAAAAGGTGCATTTTTACATGGTTTTTAATAACAATTTTTTTTAACAATATGATTTTTATAAAACAATTATTATTTTCGAATTTTTTATAAAATTTCGCTTCTTTTGAGTACCAGATTGACCTACTTTTGAAAAAATATTTTCTCAAAAGTATTAGGGTACCGGTAATTTTCCCAATAAAATTGCGCCCTTTAAATCTATCACAATCATTCTCATATTTGATAGTATCAATATTAATAACTATTAGCAATGCTAAGAGCAGGCTCTTAGCATTGCTAACAAGAAAAAATTTTATGATCCACCCTAATATATATATATATATATATATATATATATATATATATATATATATATATATATATATATATATATATATATATATATATATATATATATATATATATATATATATATATATATATATATATATATATCAGTAGAAATAGTAATTACAAAGCTAACTACAAAAAAATTATTTCTAAGTTTACTTAATTAACTATTTATTTAGACATAGATATACGCCTAATGGCGCTATCAAGGGAATCTAAGAAAAAAATGTTATTGGAGTTTTATACCCAAAAATGCTGAATCTTCTTTAATTTCCTTTTCTTTAGGTATTAAAGTATAGAAAAAATGAATATATATATATATATATATATATATATATATATATATATATATATATATATATATATATATATATATATATATATATATACATATATATATATATATATATATATATATATATATATATATATATATATATATATATATATATATATATATATATATATATATATATATATATATATATATATATATAATAGTAATTATACCAGAATTTATATTAAAGTTTGAATCAATACTATATTAATGTATTAATATTATATCAATTTTTATGAATCTGATACTTAATAATTTTGTATATATATTTTCTTTTTATCACGGTAATAAATGTATATTTTATATGGTATACCTGGAGAAAAATAAATTAATTAATTAATTAAATAAAAAAAAACCTTTAAAAAAATGATACCCATAAAAGCCCTTATTCCTTTTTTGTAAAAAATTTATCTTAACTGTAAAAAAAAAATATCTTTAAAAAAAATTTAAAGGCTTAAAATAATACCTCGATAAATACTCATATTTTCAAAAGCGTCTTCTCAAACCTCAGGAAGGAAGGATTAAGCAGAATATTGTGGTATACTTTTTGAAAGAAACCGGTATTGTATGGTGTTTTAAAAAAAATAAAAAATAAGCTTTTATGACGTTTCCCATAAAGTGATACTATAACAGTTTTTTTTAGTTATTAAGGTATTCCGTAAGTCTTTTAAAAATAACCCATTAACTTATCAAAAACGGTCAATCTTGGTCCATCGATTTCGAAATCAATTATTATCCAATCAATCTTTTCATTCATTTAGTTTTTTTTAATCGCTTTATTTTTATATATAATTGAGTTTTGTCCTACTTTAAAAACAATATTTTATATTTATTGTAATAGTTTTAAAAGAACCATCCGCACAAATAGTGTCTGTTCTAATCTTTTATTTTATGCTATAACTTTTTTATATTTGTTTAATATAAAAACAGGCATAGAAAAAAGTTTATAACAAAGATATCTTTATTATATACTAAAAATGTTTTAAAGCCCCAGCTGTTCTGATCGAATAACATAAATTATTTTGCAAAGTTAATAGTTTTTTAAATATATTTTCTAAAGCACAATAAGCGCTTTACATGATTTACAAAAGAAGAATTTTGAACTTTTAAAGTATTGGTGAATTTTGTGTAGAAAAAAAACACACAGCAACTTTGATTTAAAATTTACGATGGCTCGAGATCCACCCCTGAAAATTTATGACTTTCGAAATTTAAACGCAAATCGAAATTTAAATGCAAAACAAGGGAATCACCTCTTTAAAAAAAAAAAAAAAACACGTCGCTTAAAAATAACATTAGAGCTTAGTCTACATATTTTAAATTTTCTAATAAAATCATGGCCCTACGTTTTAGTTTCGTCAACATTATCTTATGCATTGCTTTGTTAATAGCTTTAGTGCAAGTTTTTACTATTTATGTTTTTTCTTCGAATTATAATTCCGCCTTAGATGAAAGGACTAGAAAATCTTTATATGAAGAAAATTTTATTCAAGAAAATAAAGAGCAACAGCTTCAAAAGGTTAGCATTTTCACTTTGGTAAACAGCTGTTGCTTCTGCCCGATTATAATTATTCTTCTATCCCAATGCAATTCTAGAATAAAGTTTTTTGCTTTAAATAAATATGACTTTTTTTTGATCGATGAAATATTGAACAACAGTGAGGAAAAACTATTTATTTTAGATGTAAGCTATCATTTATTGGTTATCTTGATATTGTTTATTATTTTAGATTTCAGATGATGATCTCACTGAATCTAAAAGTCAGCAACAGCTACAAGAAATATCAGTAGACGATAAGTGTGTTATAAAGCATAAGGATGCTATATCTGCAATTAGTAGAGCAAAGACTGAATCTTGTAGAAATGAAATTAAAAAAACTGCATGCTTAGCTGAGGCGGATAATCTTTACTGGACCAATATAACTCGACTATGTCCCGTAGATCGTTCCAAAGGAAGGCCTGCACATAGTGTTGAGCCTAAGGAGGAAATTGGTCCTCCAATACGTATTATGTATGCAATGGTTGTTCATGGTCGTGCATTTCGACAAGTTCAGCGATTGTTTAAAGCTCTCTTTCATACTAATCATTACTTTTATTTTCATGTAGATTCAGTAAGTTATTTTTTATTTAGAAATTTTAGATGATAGAGTATAAAATAATGTATAAAACTTTGTGTTTTATAAGTTTTTTGTTGCATTTCTCTTGTTCTATTGTTAAAGATGTTTCTACTTTAATTAGTAGTATGAAAGTTTTGATTTAAAAAAATGTAGTTCAGGCAGTGTATTCTTTATTTAAAAACTCATTAGTTGTATTTGTGAATAAACTATGTTGGCTTTTGTATAGTACTATAAAATTTTTAATATAAAAGCTAACAATATTAATGCTTAGTAGCTCAGTGATTATCTTCACTATTGTTAAGTTTTATTTATGTCAGATGATAGAGTATAAAGTAATGTATAATGTATAATTCATCATTCTAAAATGGTCATAATTATTCATTTATAAATTCTACACGTCACTTGTTTTTCATGTTAGAGAGAGAAAGAGAGAATTAGGCCCTACTATTGTGTAACAAAAAAAGATTTTTAGGATTATTAATAAAAAAGCAGCTATGAAGCTATGAAAGTTTGTTAATCTTTTCATTAAACATTGATTATTGTTTAGTAGAAAAAGAACTAAATTGTATGTTTTAAAATCTTTTTTTAAGATATGTAAAAAAATATGATGGTTTTGAGCCCTTTGCTGTCATTACTTATCCAAAATGATATGATAAACAAAATTCAACAGCAATTACAAGCTCAAAAACTTCAAAAGAAAGTGCAGAATTTATATAATACATAGTGACAGACAATAAAATATAAATGAAACAGAATTATGAAGAATAAATTCAAGTATAAGTAAAAGTTTAAGTATAAACAAAGGGATTTGAAAAGAAATTGCTCATATAGCAATAAATCTTGTAGTTATTGAAGTAAAGTGTAAATTTATCAAAAATGGCTTCCAATATTTACATTGAATAGTATTAAATGGAAACATTTTACTTTTTATGAGACACACGACAAAAGATATCTTCTTTGACTAATGTGATGCATGTGGCAATATCTTGCTAGTTTAAGAAAATACAAGTTTTATAAGATGTCATTTGTAGAGCTTCAACACATCTAACAGTCTATATCCAATTAAAAGCTACTGCGCAACAGGCATAGGAGCAGCCCTTGGAATTAGAAAAAAATAAGGTAGGCAATAATTTGCTGACCGTAATCTGTGTGAGGTCGGCATCAGGCTAACAGAAAAAATGTAAAACAAGGGTTTTACCATAAAACATAGATACAAAGTTGGTAATTTTTTGCCTACCACAAACCCTTTTAGGTTAACAGTTAGGTCAACATTGCCCAATGTCTATCCTAATTCCAAGAGTTATAGGAGTGTTTTCGATTAAAAATTTATGAGAACTTATTCCAGAGACATGTGGGATGAAGATGTTGTCTATATAGAGACAAAATAATTTTTTTTTCCTTAAATGCAGTCAATGATGCAGCTGAAAGAGCAGTAAAACTTATTAAAGATTTTCATGGTTCACTGCAAAAGAAGAGCAAAAGCAATTTTTGCTACGCTGTGTGAACATAGAAATCTGTATCCAGACTGTAAAAAAGAGACCCTTAAAGAAAAATATCCTGCATGATCTGTAATTTTTATTCTTTTAATAAATATTTTATAAAATATAAGTGTTTCAATAGCGTACCGTTATGGTGATGTCAAATTGTTTGTTTGTCCGAATATCAATCCCACAACTACTAGCGTTTTTTAAGAAATTCTTTTGTTTCTGTGCAATGTTTGTCCGAATATCGATCCCAAAGTGCCTTACGTTTCTGGAAAAAATCCTATTTTTAGGCCCATAACGGTATGCTATTGATTTAGCTGCATAAGGGGAAGGACTAAAAACAGCAATTTTCAAAATCTTCAGAGTTCTGTCAGCATGCGTTAATTTTGTTGTAGGAAGATAAAATTTTGCATTTAAGTTTTTTTACAAAATTGTCACAAAAAAAATCATATTTACTATTTATATACACACACAAACACACACACACACACAAAAAGTAATTTTCTTGTATATATATATATATATATACATATATATATATATATATATATATATATATATATATATATATATATATATATATATATATATATATATATATATATATATATATATATATATATATATATATATATATATATATATATATATATATATATATTAAAGAAATTTGTCTGCTGCATTGTTTACAAAAAGGATGGTGAAATGAGTTTTAAAAAAATCCGTTCTTTTGAATTCTTTTTTAAAAGTGAAGTAGTTCAAATATTTCTAAATTGTCACAAAAAAAAATCATATTTACTATTTATATACACACACAAACACACACACACAAAAAGTAATTTTCTTGTATATATATATATATATATACATATATATATATATATATATATATATATATATATATATATATATATATATATATATATATATATATATATATATATATATATATATATATATATATATATATATATATATATATATATATATATATATATATTAAAGAAATTTGTCTGCTGCATTGTTTACAAAAAGGATGGTGAAATGAGTTTTAAAAAAATCCTTTCTTTTGAATTCTTTTTTAAAAGTGAAGTAGTTCAAATATTTTTTTTTCAATGAAAATAATAGTAAAAATAGAGAGGAAGCAAATTTAAAACGAATTGGAAACCTAAATGTCTTGCGTCTTTGCCAAAGTTGACAATATTTTTTGCAAAAAAACAATCTGATGCATTATTACAAAAGGCAGTGAATGCAACCTTGAATTCCATTAATGTACATAGCAAAAGGTTAGCTCAGAATGTCGAAATATATACTGTCCCTGCCAACTATATACGTCAAAATAATAGTCTAAGTTTTTTCACAACAAATCAGAAGAGACACTGATTTTAAAAAGTCTGAAACCAGAGACAATGCTAAAACTTAAGAGTTATTTTTTCAAAAATTAGTAATTGGAGAAACAAAAGAATGCAATTAGCTGGTATATACTGCCAGTGTTTTAGTAAACACTGCAGTAGTATTTACTGCAAACCTTTTTTCTTTTTCAGGAAACTAGTTCTTTACTTAGTGAAAATCTATTTTGCAACTGGAAAGTTGCTCAAAAGGCAAACAGTGAGCATGAGCAATCTGCTAAACATGAAAATGCTACATCTATCTTTGTTAATTAAAGTGAATCCATGATTGATTGCAAATTTATTAAACAGTTTTAGATTGAAAAAAGAATATCATAAAAATGTGTTGCTTTGAGGGGTATCTGTCGTGGATTATTAATCTTTTTAACCTATCATTATATACATTATTATGTAGGCCTAATAACAAAATAACTTAAAGAGTTCATCAAGCAACTTGGCGATTCACTTTTATAAATAATTGGTAGCTATAAATTTTATATTTTTATTTGATATACTTTGAAATTGCTTTAAAAATATAAGTTGATAAGTTATTGAACTTGAAGCTGCCAAATAATATTCAATTATCGTTGATTCAACCACAGACATTTTGCAAGTAGATTAACTAACTTATGTTGTTTGGTATGTAATTTCTGATGGAAAACTATTTAAAAGTTTTTTATCATTCATCCCAATGAGAGGTCACAGGACAGCTAATATGTTTAATCTTGTTAAAAAGATGTTAGAGATGCACGGCATAAACATTAGTGATTGCTGTGGGTAGTTGAATGATATACTTCCAATATCAGTGGGGTCTACACTGGGTCGAAAGCCCATTTAAAGGAGTTTAATTCACTAGATGAATATGCTTTATGTGCCAGCCATTCTTTGAATCTGGTTGGTGTTGCAGCAGCTGAGTCTTGTGTGGCAGTTGCTTCTTTCTTGGGCTATCTTCAACAGCTAGATAACTTTCTGTTTCTACGCATCGCTTGATATCAAAACTGGAAAAAAGAATTCTTAAAAGTCTCTCACTGACTAGGTGGTCTGCATGTGTAGATGCGTGTTCTGCTTTTTCAAACAGTTTTTATTAGTTACAAGGTATAATTATCAGAGTCAGTTTTTTTAAGTTTTTAAGTTTTATCAATAGTACTTATATATTTGAAATATGTGTATAAACTTCAAAGTAGTCTTAAAAGAACTGAACAATGACAAAATGCAACAGCTGAACACAATAGTAGAAGCTAGTAGACTTCTCAGGAAAAAAAGAAAGCTTATGCTCTATTTATCTATTATTTTGGACTTCTTGTTCATCTTCCAGATATGGGTTTGTTTGCATTTTCATTGCACGTGCTAGAGCTTTTAAAAATTAACACAAGTAATAAGGACATTTAGATTCCAAATGAATGTCTGCATTTCAATAGCTTTGTTTCCACTTTAATTGATATTGGTGCAGATATATATATATATATATATATATATATATATATATATATATATATATATATATATATATATATATATATATATATATATATATATATATATATATATATATGTGTGGTTATATGTGGTGCCATTGGGCTGGCATGCGGTGCCATTGGGCTGACAATTTGGAAAGGAAAAACAAGAAAAGGACTAAAAATAATAGAATAAGTGAAGTTTTTCATCTTTATAAAAGTTCTTTATATCTAGATAACGCCTACCCAAACCCAAATCCTCAGTTGATGTATGTAAAACCTCTGCCCTTAAAAAAGTTTTTACATGTTGATTCTACTTGTCTAAATCCAAAACCTATAGATAATGTATATACAGAAGCTTCACAGCTAATATAATGTTAATAAAAATTGTGTATATTGTATTTGAATGAATGAACATTTAAACTTAAATTAGTTAATCACTTGGTAACTTAATTTATTAACTAAAAAAAAAGTTATAAGTTTTTTTTTTAGTTTTTTTTTAAGTAATGATATTTAGTAATTTCAGAAGTATATTTTTTAAGAGATCAGATTATCTTTATGATTATTTTTTAAGAGATCAGATTATCTTTATGATTATTTTTTAAGAGATCAGATTATCTTTATGATTATTTTTTAAGAGATCAGATTATATTTATGATTACTTTTTAAGAGATCAGATTATCTTTATGAGCAAGTTAAAAAGCTTGCATCACAGTTCAAAAATGTAGCTGTTGCACCTTGGAGAATGGCAACCATTTGGGGCGGTGCGAGTCTGTTGTCAATGTTGCTTCAAATGATGGAGGATACTTTAAAGATCAAGGAATGGAAATGGGATTTCTTCATTAACCTAAGTGCATCTGATTATCCTGTGCAGTATGTTATTGTTTATCTTTATATGTTTTACAATTATCATTGTTTAATTTGTGAAGTAATAATAATTTATATATATTTACATATATTTTAATATAAAAAGATATTTATATATTTTTTTGATTTTAATTATCCAAGAAATTTCAAAAAAGTGAGTTTTTCAAAAAGAGCTAAGTTGTTAGAGTCAAATTTTTTCACCTGGGGGGGGGGGGGGGGGGACTTTCACCCCGGGGCTTATTTTGGAACTTTTCTAATAGAATATATAATTTTTTGTTTAAAAAAAAAAATTTAATATAATTTTCTAAAAAAAAAAATTTTATCTAAATTTGCTTTTTTTTATACATCATAATTTATAATTCTGATTTTTCCAATAATTGTTCATAAGTATCATGATTATACAGGGATTATCTTTTTCCAGATAAATTCCAGAATTCCAGGTATTTCCTCTAAATTTTAGTCTTTCCAGATTTCCAAAAAGTTTTCTTTAAATATATATTTTAGCAATATATATGTTTTTAACATTTTCAAAATAATAAAAGTTTAAAAAAAACTGAGAATTTAAATCAATTCAATTTAAATCAATTTAAAGCCAAATATGTGTGAGATTTTTTTCCAGATTTTTTTTTGCAAAATGGTTTCTGGATTTTTAGAATATGACCTGGATGACCTCTGTTATAATAAAGTTAATCAGTATATTGATCATTTTGAAATCATTTGATTATTATCTCCTAAACATTTCTTTTATAACAACATATTCCTATGTTTATATATCTTTACCTGCACAGTCGCACTATTTTATTAAAATATCAGACAAATAGTGCAAACAATGATAATAAATGGCTAAATAATTCTATTATTTTTTACATAGGGATGATGAGAAATTATGTTCTTTTTTACGAGCACATCGAGATGAAAACTTTCTTAAACCACATGGTGGAGCAGTTGAAAAGTACTTATTATTATTATTTTTTTTTTTTTCAATACTTTTAGTTATTTATGTTTCTTTTCTTTTTATTTACTTTTAGTTATTTATGTTTTTTTTCTTTTTATTGTTCTCTATTCTTTTTCTTTTTTTAAATCTATTTTTGAGCACTTCTATGAAATTAATATAACTTTAAGCATTTTTATAAATGAAAAATGAAAATTATTTTTATTTTTTGATATCATTATTTATTTAATTTATATTTTCTGAAACATTTTAATATTTTAATTATTTATATTCATAAGTTAAAGTTGTTTCTACATTAAAATGAAGCACTACATATTTACAAATTAAATTGTCTTTTTTATTATAAATATTTTATATTATTATTAACTTTATTATTTGTATATTTCCTTATTAATTTTGCTATTTGAAGAAAGTATATAAACATGATTTTAAAATAATCAGATATTGTATTTTCAAAACATAATTTTTTTTTAAACTAATTTGAACTTCAACTCAAGTAATAAATTTTTTGATGATCTGCAAAAAAGTTTTCTTGATTACAAAATAGTTTATCAATGTCATAAGAAGGGTCAAATCATTAAAAAAAGGCAGAAGAATTAAAGGAAAAAAGAAAGAAAAATAAAAGACATTTAAAAACAATATTTTTCTAGTGGTCTAAAAAGAAACATTGGCCTAAACAAACATTTTCTTCTGAAAAGAAAAAAATAATTTTTCTTTAGACCAGTTTATTTTTGTAGAATTGGTTTTGAACAAATTGTTGTTTTTTACACTTGAAAATTTGATAAGTTATAAACAACTCCAAACAGTTTCAAAGATATAACTATTTAAACTTTGCCTTAAACCAACAAAAATGTGCCATTTTAAAAGTTGGTATTTGCCTTTGTTTCTGTTCTGTGTGCAATAAAAAACTGAAAATATTTACTATCGTTTGATTTACAAAGACTCCAATAGTCACATACTTGGTTTGGGGATATGCATATGCATCAATATTAAATATAAATCACCTATTTGTTGTGAAATCAGGTTTGATTCCTTTGACCATTCTTTTATGTGCTTCGGCTTAGCACCTCTTCACTCTATCAACTTTTTTGTTTGTTCTTTATTGTACTCTTTATTCCCAAGACTGCACTCTTTCAGATATAATTTCTGATCAAATTGAACATGTCCTCCCTCTCTTTACCCCTCTGCCAATATTGTTGTTATTGGTGACTTTAATGCTCATCACACTGAATGGCTTGGCTCTAACGCCACTGACCCTGCTGGCACTAAAATCTTTAACTTCTGCATTTCTTAATCTCTTACTCAGATAATTAACTTTATGACTCGTTTTCCTGACAACCCTAATCATTTATCTTCACTCCTTGATTAATGTCTGGTCTCTGATCCTAGCTTGTGTTCAATTTCTCCTTTTTCTCATTTAGGTGGTTCTGACCATGCTATGATCTCTTTAAATCTTTTATCTCATAGTTCCTGTTTGGAACTATGAGATAATGATTGGAACTAATGAGATAACAATATGAGATAAATTCTATTATCACACTACTTACTACTACTTTAAAACTGATTTTTTTTTGTGGATTTTCTTTAAATCTTTTATCAAATTTTTCCAAAAAAAGATAAAAGATTTAAAGAGAATCAAGATTCTTTTTAAATCTTTTATCTTCTTTTGGAACACTCCTTACTACTACTTTAAGACTGACTGGGATTCTTTTTGTGATTCTTTAAAACTTTTTGTGGTTTTCTTTGTGACGGTTCTTGATTGCGCCTCCTATGTAACCTCCTAGATTCAGTCAGAAATGGAAGTTTTTATTCTTTGTTGTCAGTTGCAAGTCAAGCCTCATTCTACTCCATGGTTTTCACCCTCTTGTGCAGCTGCTATATCTAATTGTAATCATTTTTTTCATCTTTTTCAAAAGAACAGCTCTCTTAAGAACATAGATGCTAGATGCTAAGCTCCATTATTCTCAAATCTTGTATTTTATCACAGAAGTTTATCACAGAGACTTTTGGAAAATCTTCAACATTTACAAAGATTGTAGGGATCCCAAACTCCTAACACATGTTGTGTTCATATTATAGATAATGTTAAAAAAAAAGATTTGAACCAAGTTTTTTTGATTAAAAATAATTAATGAATGTATACCGAGAAAAACTAATGTTGTTGTTTTATCCAAAGGTCGCCTTCTCCCTTTTTTTTCAATAACTCAGAGTTTCATTTGTTAAAAATCTACCCTGACGTCAAATACTAAAACTTTTATGAAGTAAACGCGCTTCAAAAGAATTGTTAAAGTGTGTAGATTGCGACGTATAATTTGAAGACTCTGAGTTATTGAAAAAAATGGAGAAGGTGAGCTTCAGCTAAAACAACAACATTTTTCTTTGCATGCATTCATTATTTATTTTTAATCAAAAAAACTTGGTTTGAACCCTTTTTTTTAACATTATCTTCAATATGAACACAACATGTGTTGGGAGTTTAGGATCCCTTTAACAAAGTTAGGTCTAACATTCCAACTCTCATTCATAGAACTGATTTTATTACCTCTCCTAAGGATAAAGCAGAACTATTTGCAAAGAGCTTTTATTTTAATTTGACTCTCAAATCGTATTCTCTTCTTTCCATTCCAATAAACAGGTTAACCCATTTTTAAACATTCAAATTATTCTAGCTTCCATTGCTAAAGTCATACCTTGATTAAACTTTTCTATGGCTTGTGGTTCAGACAACATTACTTTCATAGTCTTACAAAATTGTTCTCCAGAACTTTCTTCGATTTTCTCTAAACTATTTAATAATTGCTTGACTGAGTCTTGTTTTCCTGCCTGCTGGAAAATGGCATCTGTTGTTCCAATTTTCTAAAAACTCCAGTGATAATTCTAACCCCTCCAATTATTGTCTGAACAGTCTTCTTTCTGTTATTAGCAAGGTCTTTGAGTCTTTGATAAATAAATTTCTTACATCCCATCTTTTGTCAAATAACTTACTGTCAGACAATCAATACGGTTTTCGATCCTCTCGCTCTATGGCTGACTTGCTAACTACTAATTTTATCGTGCACTAGATAAAGGTGTTGAGGCTAGGGCTATTGTTCTTGACATATCTAAGGCTTTTGACAAAGTTTGGCATGCTGGTTTTCCCCATAAGCTTGTTTCATATGGTGTGTCTGGGATAGTTTTTGAGATTATGAAATTGTTTTTTTCTAACGGCTTTAATAAAGTCATCCTTGAAGGCCAACACTCCTCTTTATTTCCAGTAACTTTTGGGGTACCTCAAGGTTCTATCCTTGGTCCTGTTTTGTTTTTTATCTACATTAATGATCTTTCCGATAACCTTGTACCTAAAGTAGCTGTTGTGCATCTAAAGTAGCTGTTCCCGATAACCTTGCATCTAAAGTAGCTGCTCTTTTTACTGATGACTCAACTTTATACTCCTGTCTTAAAAAAAAGTCTTCTCTTTTCAATTGCTTAGAACAGGCAGCCGATCATGAATCTGATCTCACCTCTGTATCAGATTGGGGCTCACAGTGGCTTGTAAATTTAAACTCCAACAAAACAACTTGAGTAGTCCAATAAAACAACTTAAAATATTTAAAAATAAACATAACACCTGAATTTTTAACCTTTATTAGAATGTGATATAAAAATATTTTTTTACATTTGCATAACTTTAAATTTACATAAATTAGATAATTATATGTTTATATGTAATTTTAATAAATTTTCGATACGACACTTGTGTTCCGAGCTGACGAAGTGCACTTAAAATTATTACTAATAAAACATTTTTATATTTATCAAGCTAAGACAAGTAAAGGAGATGGTTTTTGGTTGTTCAAAATTGTTTTACAAGTTACAAATTTAAGTTAACTTGACTGTGTTTTTATTTTTCTGTTTAAAAAAAAAACCACTCTCCAGTTCTTTGTAACAATTCTAACTAAACTGTTAAAGACAACATCTAAAAAAAAAAAAAAAAAAAAATCAAGCTACATTGGCATTTTTATAATTAAACTTGCCCTAGTAAAATTTTGATAAATGCTAACTTTTTAGGTGTTATGTTAATTTTTTTAATTTTAAGTTGTTTTATTATATTCTTTTTCTTCAAAATATGTAAGTATACATATTTTCAGTTTTAAATTGCACACAGAACGGAAACAAAAACAAAAATATAGAACTTTTGTTGGTTTAAAGCAAAGTTAAATAAGTTGTATCTCTGAAACCATTTGGAATTGGATTTTGAAATCTTTGAGTGGTGTAAAAATCAACAAAATCTAAGACTTGTTACTAAGAGTTGCATTTTAAGAAAAAAATGAATTTTTTCACATGGAATTGCTCTATTAAACTTAACTCTCATTAAATGAGTTAAAATAAACAATGGTTAAATTAACTAAATAAGTTCCGTGAGATGATCTAACTTATTTTAACTGATATGGTTGGATTAATTATGAAATCGACCAACTAGCATATATTACTAATAAGTACCATACCACTAATAAGTGGCATGTAATAATAAATAGCATAATAAATAATATAGTATAATATATATACTATGATATATTATATATATATATATATATATATATATATATATATATATATATATATATATATATATATATATAATGTATATATGATATATATTATATATATGTAATATATAATAAATAATAAATATTATATATAGTATAATATAGTATAAATAATATGGCATACTATACCACTACTAAGTGGCATGTAATAATACATATAACAATTCAATTTATTCCAATTATAATATATATGGTATTAATATGATTACAAGGTTATGTTACAAGGGGCGAATTAAGCAATTGTGAATTGTGATGGGCCAAAGCCATTTAGCGATCTTAAAAGTATTTTATTTGAAGCAATTGCAATTACTAATTTTTATATTTATGGGTAAAGGTAAAAAGGCTTCATGGTGTTATAAAACGATTTTGATACAAAATAACCTGGTCAGACAAATATTACTACTTTTAGTTATTTGTCCTTCAGGTTGGGGAAAGCTAATTTTAAAATTAACGCATATACTTTACGGACCATGAGCATCACCAAGAAAAGCTTATTTTTTAAGTTCCTTTATTTGCTTTTAAAGTTGATTACAATAGTAACAAGTTTTTATTTATCTAATTTTGGCAACAAAAAGTACTTTTATTCTGTTTTTGTATTACCTAGATTAACATCTGTTTCATACAAATAATATTCAAAACATAATAGTTTTGAGATTCTTATGAAATTGTTGAAAACGTTGCTATTTTTGGTGTAGTAAATTTGTTGTTTTATCTGCAAAAGTTTTCACAATCTGGTATTGTTTGAGTTAATTCGCCCCTTGTGTTACTTTATCTATGCTTTTTTATTTTAAGTGAAAGTATAAACAAAAAAATAAAAACAAAATCATTTACATCCAGTCCAGTGAAGTGAATGTTTTCTCTGTCTGTAATGTGAAAATTTGTTGGATGATAGGTCTGGCTACTACTGGGTGACCCAGGAACTGTGTATTGTTTTAAAAAAAAATCTCCAAAATTTCGTAAAATTTTTATTTCAAAAAAAAATTTTACTGCTAAAAAGAAGAAAAAAAAGATTTTTTTTTTTTTGTTTTATTTAATTTGACCTCTATCAGCTTCATAGACTTATTGAGTTCGACCTTGGAATGATGATGCAGGAATTGATGGTATCAATAGCTGAAATACTAGTTTCATGCCCTTAAGATAGATTGCTGTAGAGCCTTGGTACTGTAATGGTGCTTCTTATATGCTTCCTTTTCAACAATCGTTCGCATAATATAGTCAAAAGGGTTCAAGTCTGAACTTGATGCTGTTCTCATTGACTTATCTCAGAATTGTGCCATTGTATCAGAAAGGTACTGTTGAGATTTTTTAGAGGTATGAGCAGGTGCACCATCCTGTTCAAGTACATAATTACCTTCTGGATATGTCTTCTTTATCCAGAGAACAATTTTTCTCTGCAGTAGCCTAAAATATTCTTCAGTCAATTTTTTGGCTTTTCAGAACAAGCACTGGATGGCACCTATTTCCATCATTTCCAATGACACTCAAGATCATTACAGAGGCTGGATGTTTTGTTTTAAAGGTGTATCTAATGTGGTCTGGAACATCTTCAACTTTATCAGTGCTCAGATACCTTGTATTATTCCAATTTACTACTTAGTCAACTGTGAATAATTTTTCATTGGAAAAATTATTCACATTGGTGATGATTCTTCCATGTGATTTTTGGAGTTTGGATTGTTTTTTTCTGATTTCTTTTTGATCATTTGGTTTTATATGTATGATTGCTAAAACAAAAAAAAAAAACAAAAAAAAAGCAAACAAACAAGCAATGCTACAAATATATAAAAGTAGTTGCAGTGGCCTTAAAAAGTGTTACGCAGTTGCTGGGTTGCCTGTTAGTATCTTATTTTCTTCTTAATATCCTTAATTAGAAACATGTTTAAATTCAATGAAATTTTATGAGTTTTTGTTCTTATTTTCAAAGTAGTATTTTCTTTTTTTTTAATCATTTTTATAAAATATTTAAATTATATATTAAATATTTAAAAATAAACATTTAAAAATGCACATTTAAAAAAATTGAGTATATTGAATTTTTCTTTATAATTAAAGAAACTTTTTTCATGAGATTTTTTCATGAGACTAGTTGACTATTTTAATGACTCTTTCTTTAATTGATTTCTTGTGTTTAATGTTTTTCTCTTTGGTTCAAGATTTCATTCTTTGATTAATTTACTTTAATGTTTTTGTTGTTGGTATTTTATAGATTCATTCGCAAGCAAGGTATTTCAAGAACTTTTTTGGAATGTGATGAACACATGTGGCGGTTAGGAGAAAGAAAACTTCCAGATACTATTGATTTTGATGGGGGGAGTGATTGGATAGCTTTAAATAGAAAGTTTGTTGATTATGTTGTTTTCAGTGAAGATACTTTAGTTTTGGGTTTGAAGCACTTTTATCGATATGCTCTACTCCCTGCTGAGGTATGATATTTTGCCATACCATTATTAATGGTACTCAATTATTGACTTAGGGGTGCTGCTTAGCGAGGTTTGGTTTTTTGGGCTCAGCTAAGGTTGATTTAAAAATAATTGTATAAATTTGCAAATAATTTTATGCATAATTTTTTACTCAATATAATTTTTTCTTCAGATTTTTAGAGAAAATTAAAATATTTTTATACAATTTAGTCATACACAACCTTAAGGAACTATTGATATATTTAAATAAAATAAAAAAACTATTGATATATTTGAACTATTTGATATATTTGCCCATTACACCTTTATTCACACATCCCAGACACCAGTTGCTTTCCGCCCTAGTTAATCCTGCACAAAACAATCTAAAGATCAATTGTTATTTATTTTTTTAATCCTGCACTAAATGATCCAAGTTTATCTTAAATTACAAAAATTTCTTATTTGTCAATGCAAAGAACTAGAAGTAGAACTAAAAATACCAGTTTGAAAAACTAGAAATACCAGTTTAGTGTATTTTAATATTCTAGTTCCTGATGTTTCACTTGGTTCCTGATTATGTAGTTCTTTGGGTTTTATATATTGTTCCCGATATTTTATGTAGTTCCTATCAGTTTATATAGTTCTCAATTTTGTGATATAGTTTCTAATGTTTTATTGAGTTCCAAGTTTATATAGTTCTTGATTTGTGTAGTCTCTGATGTTTTATGTAGTTCAAGACTAATCCATAAAGTTTTTAATTATTTATACTAGTTTCTGATATTTCGTATAAGTCCTAATGTTTTATTTAAATGGTTCCTAATTTGTGATGTGATTTCTGGTGTTGGTGATTTAAAGATAAAACTATTATTCTTCTATTATTCTATTATTAGTTCCTATATGAGTGTATTTCCTGTAGTTCCTGACTAAACTCTGACACCAAACACTCTCCTCCATGGGGGTTGAGCTAAAGCAAGAGACAATGTCTCAATAAAAGTACTCTACCTGCAGAAACTTTTTTTTACTTGTAGAAAGGCTTTTTACTATTTTTCTTGACTCTACTTGTTAGTATTTGTGTCTCTTTGGTAGTGACTATACAATTTTTTCTATTACCTTCTAATAAAAGTGCATCTAAAAAACTGAGTTCAATTGTTTTAAGGTCAACCGGTATTAGTGCTTTTTGTATCCATTGTTGAGGCATTGTGAGGAGTTATTTGTTAGAACTTAAGCTTGATTAGCAGGAATGAAGCAAGTGCACAACTTGTTGCCTAAGTTGCCTTGTTGTTAAAGTTATTTTACTATATATGTTTGAGTCTTAATCATTTGTACTGTTTATGTTTGATTCTTGTTTGTTCATACTATTTATGTTTGATTCTTGTTTGTTCATACTATTTATGTTTGAGCCTTGTTTGTTCATACTATTTATGTTTGAGTCTTGTTTGTTTATATTTATTTATGTTTGAACCTCTAAAAATTTATGTCATGACTAAGTTATCTAAAAATATTAAAAAAAAAGCAACATCATTTACATTATTAACTTTACATGTTTTACATTATTACATTATTTTATTATGTTTCAATTTACAGCATTAACACTGAGTTGTTTCAATTCATCTTTACATTTACTTTTAGTTATTTATAAATAATTGTGGTTTTCCAAGTAACTTTTCATCTGTAGAATTGTACCTCTTGCTAAATTCATCAGACCTACTTGCTTTTTGCAAGAGTAATTTTAATTCAGTTAATTTAACTTTTAATCTAAAAGATTCGGATCTAAGATGCAGATGGCTATAAACTTTTGATTCTTTTGATTTATAAAGGCTCCAATTACAACATGCTTGGCCTGGGTACATACTTATAAATTTACTTGTTTGTTGCCATCTCACAATCATTTTTTTCTTGGTTTTTTATTGTTCTACTTCTTTTCATGGCTACACTATTTTTGATGTTATTTCTGATTAAATTGACCAAGTGTTTTCTATCATGCAATATTGTTGTTGTTAGTGGCTTTAATATTTGCTAAACTGAATGGCTTGATTCTAATACAGTTGTTGTGGTAAATAAGTTGCTTCAAGAAGTTCTTACAGTTCTATCACAGAGCACTGCAGAAGAGCTTTTAACCAAAAATTTAATTGCCTACCAATGTTGCTTATCTTGCTAGAGCCATCATCAAATCTTGGACCTCTTGGTTCTGAACTAGAACTCTAACCACTGTGGTCCAAAGTTTAAAGCAAGCTATGGCCAAATAAGGAACATTAGTAAGGAAGTAGGTGTGAACTTCATGGGCTCATTGCTCTTTAGCAGCATGTCTAACATACCATTGTTCATAAATGAGTTTGATCTCATTACCTCTTCCAAGAATAAGGCCTAAATATTTCCAAAAATATTTTTTATCCAATATTAGATATAAAAAATGGATCTAGCTATTATCGCTAAATTTATTTTTCACTTCTATAATATTTTTTCACTCTTCTTTCCTGATGATTGAACATATAAAGTGAGGCTCTATTTACTGATAACACAACTTTTAATGTGATCTGATCTTGAATGAGATTTTTCTTCTGTCGTAGCTTGGAGCTCGCATTGGCTGGTGAGTTGTGAACCAACCCCCCCCCCCCCCTCAAAAAAAAAAAAAAAAAAAAAAGATAAATTTTCTTACTGAATACAATTACTACAATGTTGTTGATGTATTGTTAAAAAAACCACTGGTTGCTGCCATCAACCAGTGTGGCAGCACACTGGTTGATGGCAGCACACTGGTTAAGTTCAATACTAACTACTTAAGAAAATGAAATATCTAATCCATTGTGAGGTTAGCATCTCTTAAGGTTGCCTCACTTTATCATGTTTGCCATTATTTTTTACTGATGCTGTTTCTTGATGCTCAAAAACCATTCATTTATTTTTTTCCTCAAACATCAATATACATGTATATATGTGTGTATGTGTATATATATATATATATATATATATATATATATATATATATATATATATATATATATATATATATATATATATATATACTTATCATAAAAACGTAGAGGTTATCTGTCTTTCTCTCTGTCTGTGGACATTTTCGTTTTCCGCAGTAAACTTGAAAACGTTTTAATGTATAGCGAAAAAGTAAAAAAAAAACATTTGTTTTTAGTTGATTGGAAAGGGATTGTGATGAAAAAATTTTAAAAGTTAATTTAAAAGTTAATTTAAAGTTAAGTTGTTATGCAATTTTCATTACGCAAGCAATATTCAAAGTTTTAATTGGGTTTTTTTCAAATTTTAACTTTGTAAATAAAGTGCAATGCAAGAGTGCAGTTCAATTTGTTAAGTATTTGGTTTGTTAAGTATTTGTTTATTAATAATGTTTATTAGTTTTAATTATATTTAATATTATTAATATTTAATAATAAACAAACTATTATTAATATTTATTAATTGATTTGTTAAACATTTGTTATGGCTAAACATAAACCTCAGTTAGGACAGAAATCCAAGGATTCTAAACGTAAAAGTTATATCACGAAAGCTATATCACGAAAGTTATATCACGAAAATCAGCGCTTGAGTTTGTGCAGTTTTCACACCGTCAAACTTCATCAACCAAAACCTATACATAATTTTTCTTTTCAAGAATATGTAAGTAAGAATTTATCTGGCCCAGCTAATGTATTTGTTCTACAAGGTGATCTTGAAGCTCTTACAGTTGAATCCCATGAAAAAGCTAAAAAGGCTAAACTAGGGAACAAAAACAACAATCAATGCGGCTCAGCCATTATCAACTTGACGATGCTGTTGTTGCTGCAATCCGAAACTAAGACGCAGATTATCATGCAAAAGCCCTTGAAGAAGAAGACAAAATAGAGGCAAATAAAAGGCTGAATGGAATTCAAAAGTATGAACTTTATCAAGTCTGAGGATAATGAAGAAATTGCTAACTTTCCTACCAAGTTTCTCAATTTCCTAAGTGTGAGTGGGTTACCACCAGAGCTGAAACTCAAAGTAGGAGCAATAATTATCATCCTTAAGAATATGGATTCCAGTATAGGACTGTGCAACGGGATATGGTTCATTATCATGGGATTGACTGAAAACTTGATTCACACAACAACTGTGACAGGAAAACACAAAAATAGTAGTGTTTTCCTTCCTCGAATTGATATTAGTCCAACTGAATATGATATACCATTTACGTTAATTCGGCAACAGTTTCTTGTTCTACCCGGTTTGCTATGACTATCAACAAGTCACAAGGGCAAACATTCGATAGAGTTGGTATATATCTACCTGAACCCGTGTTTAGTTATAATCAACTCTATGTTTCTCAAGACCAACTTCAAGAGCAGAAGTCAAAAAACTCAAATCAGGTTTAAATCAAGGAAAATTAACTAAAGGCTCTGAAATGTATTTTACTAGCAATGTCATCTACCATGAGGCATTTATATAATTTATGTGTTTATATGTATTTTAGTGAAATTATTGTATGTTAAATGTAGTTATATAAAGTATATATGAAATGCAATAATATATGTCCTAAAAAGAAAAAATAATAATTAAAGCAAATTTCAAATGCCAACTGATTCTTCCTACGGTTGCGCAGGCTATCCTACTAGTATATATATATATATATATATATATATATATATATATATATATATATATATATATATATATATATATATATATATATATATATATATATATATATATATATATGTATATATATATATGATATATATATATATATATATATATATATATATATATATATATATATATATATATGTATATATATATATGTATATATCTATATATATATATATATATATATATATATATATATATATATATATATATATATATATATATATATATATATATATATATATGTATGTTTATATATACTACATATATGTATTTGTATATATGTATATGGATTAGTTATTAGTTAACATAATTTAAAAATTTGTGATCGTTTTGTTTTTTAGTCATTTTTTCATTCTGTGCTGAGAAATAGTCCTCATTGTGAAACTTACGCTAAGGGAAATCTACGTTTAACAAATTGGAAACGTAAATTGGGTTGTCGCTGTCAATACAAACACATCGTTGACTGGTGTGGTTGTTCTCCAAACGATTACAAAACTGAAGATTTTGTACGACTAAAAGTAATTCCACAAATAAAAAATTTTCTATTTTAGTTTCATGTCAATAAGTTGTCTATTAAGTTAACTATAAAATTAATAATTTTTGATTTAAATATTTATAGCACTATAATAATAATAATAGTATAAACAATATAATTTTATAATAATTATTTGATTTAAATTAGGGCCAAACAATAAATCATTTTGCTAGAAAATTTGAACCAATCATTAATCAAGAAATTATCAATATGTTAGACCAATGGTTATATGGTGAACTGCATGATTCGAAAGCTTTAAATTCTTATTGGGAAAATTTGTATGATGAAAAAACAGATAAGGTTGCACATTTTGATATTCCATTAACCTTTTTACAATCCTTTGCTCGTATTGCTTCAAAATCTTTATCAGAATCAAGCCATTGTCGATACACTCCGATTTGGAAAGCAAAGGAAGCAACATTATATAATTTAAATGATAAACTGGATGGGGTTTTAACAATTTTTGATGTCAAAGTTGTATCAAATGTTATTAAAAGAGATTTTTTATCATTAGAGGCATTTTTTAAACCTAAAGATACCATGTTTCTCTACAATGGAAATCGATCTGAACCAGCTAATAGATTAAAAGGGCTTAATGTAAGCTAAAAAGAGAATTATTATTTTGTTTTTTTTTCTTTTTCACTTCTGTTTTTATATGATTCAATATTTTAGTGAACATTCAACAAAAAGTAATTAAAATATAAAATCTGTAAAAGATATTTTTAGATAGGGACATCTTGGGACCAAAAAGAACGCATCTTTCGAAATATTGCTGGCCTGATAGGTCCAGATGATAACCCGACTCTTGTGCATCGGTGGGTCCATGGTGAGGAATTTCATGTTAGAATAGTTTGGCAAGATCCTTTGAATGTTATTGCAGGTTAATATTTTTAAATGTTTACTTTTGTAACATATGTTAATGTTTTTAAATGTTTACTTTTATAACATAATTGTAAAAATTAAATACAATAACACATTACAATACAATAATGTTGTATTGTAATACCAGATAAGTAATAAAAACATTATTTATTGTTATTGTATTGCTGCTATGAAAAACAATAACAATAACTATTGTATTGTTTTTGTTCTAACGAAACATTAAAATCTCAAACCTATTGTATTGTACTGCTGTGATGAAAAACAGTTACAATAACTATTGTATTGTATTGCTGTGATGAAAAACAGTTACAATAACTGTTGTATTGTATTGCTGTGATGAAAAACAGTTACGATAACTGTTGTATTGTATTGCTGTGATGAAAAACAGTTACAATAACTGTTGTATTGTATTGCTGTGATGAAAAACAATTACAATAACTATTGTGATTTTATGAAGAACAATCACAATATCATTGTAGTGTATTTTATTACAAAGTCCAAAAGCTTTTGTATTTTAATGTATTTAGATTTTTTTGCCACACATTTACAATTATTTGGGTACTAGTAAATTCAGAGGCACACATTTTTAGCAGTTATTTACATATATAAATTTTATTTATTTTGATAGGAGAAGTAAAGACAAGAGAGCTAAAGAAATATATATTATGAATACTTAACAAATATTAAGTTTAGGGGCGCTCATGGCATCCATTTCTAGCAACCATTTATAATATATAAATTTTGTTTATTTTGAGAAATCAAATAAAGACAAGTGAAGTACTCTAAGAGGATTTTTTGTAAGTTTTCAGCAGTCTGTTAGAGATCAGCTGGCTCACAACACCACAAAAATCTACGAATTTAATAGTTGTTGTTGATATAATGGACTGTGATAAAATTATTCTTGTCACATGCTGGAAAGGGCCATCCATCAGTGATAAAATCAATATGCATAATCATTTTGATCTTGAAGAAGGCAATATATTTCACAGGTTTTTTGACAGCCTCATAAATGATGTGAAGTATATTTTTAGCATAGACCCTTGCAGAGCAAAAACTTCCATGTGCAATTAGGAGGAATGCACACCCTTATGTTATTTGATTGTTGCGTTGGTACATTAATGTAATGTTCTGGCCTAGAAGTAACCTGGAAGTTGCGTTTGCAGGTGTTAAAACTATATTGGCTGGAAAGATGTTTTCACACAGTATTAGACTATTATGTATGATTGTGGAAGAACTAATTTCATCTTTTTTCTCTAGCAAAAACATAAGGGACTTAACAACTTGCCTGAAAATATAGCAAGTAAGAGTCAAACATCATAACATTGGACAAACTGTCTAATAAAGCCAGTCTTCATTATGTTAATATCCATATGCGCGAAATGCCATATGGATATTAACATAATGAAGAAAAGATAACTGACCTTTGCATATGTGGACAATTCGCATTCTGTAGTCTGTATTATTATGAAATATTTTGTAATTTTTAAAGTTAAAGAAAATTATTTCCTTCCTTTATTACTTATTTTACTTGTCTCAAAACAAGATGTTGAATCGCTATCTTATAGTCAAGGAAAAATATAGCATACCATTATATATACTATTACTTAGCAGTATTCAAATAAACATTTGTTTAAATATACTTAATTTTGGTCTGCCAGATCCCTTTCATTTGCAGAAAAATATGCAGGTTCTGTTATTTTGACCCCGTTAACTTTTTCAATATTTAAAGTTGCCCAAGTTTACTATTCTTGCACCCTGCATATTATGATCCAGTGTAGTAAATAATTGTAACAGAATTAATTGTTAAATATTAGTTGTACCCTATTTCAAAGGCACATGGCTTGGCAACTGGACTTTAAAAACATTCCCAATTTTTGACATTACAAAAATTTGTTTCATTGCAATAACAATAAATTGTTATTGTATTATAAAGATGAATTACAATACAATATTTATTGTTAATGGGGTCATTATTGTACCATTTTTTTTAGGTATTGTTACTGTGTTATGAGGATGAATTGCAGTAAATATTTATTGTGATTTACATTTATCAAAATAAATGTAAATCACAGGTATTGTTATTGTTTCTAAAAAAATTAATACAACAACAATAGTTGTTGTAACTGTCATTGTCTTAATTACAAATATTACAGTCCAAATCGTAACCCATACTACACAAGGCCTTTTTACACCCTGTTAGACACACTTCTCTAATGCACTCTTTTCAGTTATAATTAACACATCTTGTGAGACATTTAATTTAAGCACTCTATTAAACACTTAGCTGACCTATGTTTTAAACCTATGTATACATTACAAACTATTATTTTTACTTTAAATCCTTGAAGATGGAATACAGCAAAATTCAAAAATTCTTGATGATAGATGTTTTCACTTCCCTAAAGTCAAAGAGGCCTATTAGTTTTTATATTTATTTTTTAGCATAGCTTATTTCATTCAACCATACTGGTTTAGGTTATTTTTCATAGATTCATAGATAATATGTATTTTAATTTTTATGCATAATTCTGTGAATCCTCTTACAATCTTGAATGAAATCTGATGCATATCAACCTATTATAGAATTTACTAAGAATAGAATGGTATTTAAAAGTTATAATATTTTCTTCCTTTAGTTTATTTTAAAATTTTCTATTCTAGTTTAATACACGCTGGTAACTATGGTAACAGCTAGTGTTTAACAGCAAGTTTTTTTGTTTTTTTCAATTTTTTTCATTACTAATGTGCATACAAAACATTTTTTTGTTTATTAGGTATGTATCAAATGAAAGTGGAAAAGAATTGGGTCATTTCGTTTCATAAGCCAACTTTCAATAAGCCTCTTAGACCTGGCACATGGGTGGTAAAAATTATGTATAACGATGATGAGGTTTTAGGAGAAGTAAAATTTCTTGTAATACCGCAAGCTTATTTTGAGGGCAAACCGGCACAACTAGAAGATGTTATTGCATCTAATAATGGTCCCCCAGCTGGACTTTATTCAAGTGATTTTGTTATAGAGTTTGACCGAGATGCGAATAACACACTAGAGCGTGTGAAAGAGTTTAGTGAAAAAGCTACAAGCACAAGCTTTGAGTTGGAAAACTGGATTGATAAAAATATTTTAAATCATTGGGATCTTGAGGCCATATGTTCTATTAATAACATCCCTTTTAAAACATGTGGAAATATAGATTTGTGTTCGGAAACCACATGGAGTTCAAAATCGCCGGATCCGAAATCTGAAATTGGCAAAATAAAACCAAGCGGGCGTTTAAGGTGAAAAAGTATTAGTTTAAATAAATTGCGAATGCATTATTTTCATAGCGTTTTTTTAAAAATATTTTAAATTCAAAAAGCTTCTAAATTTTTTGTATAAAATATTTACAAGATATTTGAAAAGTGTTTTTTTATGAACTTGTTTTATTCCTAATTTAAAAAAAAAAGTTTTAATAGCATTTTATACATTTAAAGCGACAGTAAAAAAAAAAAGAAACTTAAATTTATTTTGTTAATTTTTTGTGTTTTTGGAGTTTTTTTGTCGGATAATAAAACGCGAACTTTTTAATCTTTTTATTTTTAAATAAGGTGTATGTATGATTTTTATATATTATTTAAAATATTTATCAAATGTAACATTGGCAAGTACGATAAAACTACTTATGCTATGTGGCTTCATATACTCAACTATAAATAGCTTAACTTCATAAATATACATAACGATAAATAATACATAAAAGTTCGCATTTTGTTAGCCCACAGTTTGTGTTGCGTCCATCGGTTCTAAGTTAGTGGTTTGCGTTTGTTTTTTTACTGCATGTTTGTACCGAGTGCTATTTTGTTCTAAATTGCATGTTTGTACCGAGCGCTATTTTGTTCTAAATTTTTGTTTAACTGTCTTAGTCACGATTTTGTTTTATTAATTTTTTTTTTTTTTTTTTTTTTTTTTTTTGCATAATAAGCAAAAACCTGTAACTGTTGACTTCAGTTTGTTGCTGTTTTTTTAGCGTTAGTTATTTTACAATTGGAATTTTATATTTTAACTAGTACTTTCATATTTATAGTTGTATAAATTTATGAATATTAATTTTAATTATTTATTAACATATTTAATGGTATTGTACATCTCGAAAATATATTTTTCATAAATACGAGCGTTTTGTTTTTGAAAAAGTGCATTTTAAAACCAGGAGTGTGATTTGCAGAAAATAATTAGAATAATTCATAATTAAGTTCTATTCTTAGTGACATAAGAAGGAGACAAGAATAGTTTTCTTGAAACATGTTTTTAAAATATCTCTAATAAAAAAAAAAAAATTTAAATATTTCTTTACAAGTAAATTTTATGTTTTTTCATAGCCTGCTTAAAGTTGGACTTGTTACTTGCAAGTCCGGTATACAGTAGGTTTTTAGTTCGGTTTTTTTTTTTTTGTTTACATTTAATCATAGTTATAGTTATTGGAATAAAAATATTTTGTATTTATAATATTATTTGCTAGAATAACTAAAAAAAGTGTGTGGTTTTAGAATTTTAAAATTCACTAATTATTATTCAACAAATCCTTCTAGAAATGGTTACAAAAAGTAAAATATCTTTAAAGCATTAAAATAACTCTTAACTTTTCTTCTCTTTAAAGAAGAGAATTTTTTTTAAAATTTATTAATCTACTTGAAAAAAAGCGTTTATTATCCTTTTTTTTAACTGACTTATTTCATTCTAACTTAATGAAAGGTAAAAATAAACAACTTGTTTAGCTTTGCAAGTTTTCCGTGTGACCATCTATTTTGGTTGTTCCAAAAGAAATAAGGGCTTTTATATGCCTGTATTTAATAAACACGTGATGTACAATTTCCAATTTAAAGAATAAATTAAAACTCCATTATAACTACAGAGTTATAATAGTAACCAAAAGTTCGTGTAGCTTTGTTTGATAATCTTTTGCATGAAAAAAAAAAATGAAAGCGTATACATTGTTAGTTAATTACTTTGATTAAATCTAAGTTACAGCTCTTACTTGTTTTTTGTAAACAAGTTCATAACTTTTTATGGGCCTAACGTGCATAACTTTTATGCACGTTAGGCCCAATGATTGCTTTTTGATACTAAATGGTCCTGGATAGCTCTTGCTACCACTATTTCTTCAATAACTGCAATGCTTTTTCAAATAGACCCGATATTTCTAACAAGTTCTTAGAGTCATTTTCAATTTATAAATGATGGGTAAACCAATCGTCTGCCCAGTCATGCAAAAAAAAGTATATAATAATAATACTAAACTATTTATTTGAATTTCACGCTGTATTTTGCTATGCAATTCTCTTGACTGGAAGGTTTGAACTCGTATAGTACAACAGTCCGGGTTTTTCAAAAATTCGTTCGGCGCTGAGCTACTGAGCTATGAAATAATGAGTTAAGATAAAAACATTTTGGTGGCCCAATGCGTTGTCAATTTATTGAAACATACATTATAACAACTAAACCATTATATTTAGCAAAATTTAGTATTAAGAGTAGGGGAAAGCGGGGCAACATGGCAAACGTTTTAAAAGCCCTTAGCTATTGAAAAATTATCAGTCGTGAAGCAATAATACTTTCTCAGTATGTTTATATTATTAAAATGATTTATTGTCTGCATGAATTTTCAGTTTGCAAATATAACAATTTGCAATAAATATTAAAATAAAAATTTCACAAGTTTGCCTCCAATTTTATAAAATTATAAAAACTACCAATAACTCTAACTAAAGTAACGCAAACACAAGTCGCAAAAAAACTACATCTAAAGAAGTTAAACTTGAAGGAAACTATCCATTATGAGAAACCAAAACTGAGGAATTTTTTTTTAGGCGCAAAAAGTAAACTTATGCATATAAAATTGTGTTAATAATATTTTAAAAAACCAATTGGTGTTTTAAAATACAAGATGCAAATATAGTTTCGTTTTTACTCAAATTTATGATTTTTTGATGAGTTGTTATATGAAAACCCATCTTGTCCATTTGCAGAATGCTTTTGATACTATGGACTTCTCACAAAATTAGAATACTATGGAATCAGAGGCATCCCACTGAAATGGTTTACTTCTTATCTCAAAAATAGAACAAAGTTTGTTTCCATTAATAGCACTAAATCTGATTTACAAAATTGCTCAAATGGCGTCCCACAAGGTTCAGTTTTAGGACCATTTCTTTTTCTTCTTTTTATTAATGACTTGAATACTTCTTTTAAATTTGCAACTGCTTACCATTTTGCTGATGATACTACTTGTTGACAAATCACTTAAAAAAATCAACAAACATTTATCATGATCTTGGAAATCTTGTTCAGTGGCTTCGTTCTAATAAACTTTCTCTCAATTCTAACATAACAGAGCTTATCATCTTTAAATCCAATCTGGCGACAATCAATAAGCAATTAAATTTCAGACTAAGTGGACAAAAAATTTATCCTATAGACTCTATTAAATATCTTGGGATTAAAATTGATTCTAATCTTTCTTTTCAAGGCTATCTGAATGACTTAGCAATGAAACTCAGCAGATCTAATGGAATTCTAGCCAAAGTCCGCCATTATGTAAATCTAGAAACATGCTATTTTTGGGTCCCATCTAAGATATGCATGTCAAGTATGGGGACAATCCCATAAAAAAATCATTTTAAGGTTGTCCCATCTCCAAAATAAAGCCTTGAAAATAATATATTTTCAGTATAATAGTTCTAAACCTAATGTACTATAACTAATCTCCAAAATATTAAAAATAAGCGACCTTGTGGTATTCCTCAACTGCCTATTTGTCTGGAATTATCACCACAAAAATCTTCCCCTATCATTCAACTATTTCTTTTCAAGTACAAATTGTCACTATTCTCTTCGCTCCATCAGTAGCTTAAACTTTGTTATTCCGAAACACCAATCTGCTAAATATGGAAATAAATCCATTAAGTACAATGTATTAGCTCATGGAACAAACTACCTCCTGATCTAAAATCTTTTAATTCAATCTCTGAATTCAAGCTTTTTAATTATCTGTTAAAAAAATACAATTAAATATTTCTACTAACTAATATTGACATTCTTTACTATATATGTCAATTTGTAATCCTTCAGTTTTTAATTTGATATTTTAAACATTTTGAAATTTTCTACTTATCTATCTACATCTAATTCCTCTGGTAATCTATCTGCCATTTTTAAACTTTATTATTAAACTATCCATACTAATATTATTAATTTTAGTACCAATGGGTTGGCATTCTTTATTTATCTATCTATTTATCTCTTTTCATTCAACAATTCTCTATTTCTCAACTATTCTACATCGTACTAAATCTTTGTTGTTTCCATCACTCTTTATTAAATTTTTGTTGCTGCTGTTATTGTCTTTATTTGTAAAATTCTTCTCTTATTATAATTGTTATTATTTCGTTACTATTATTATTATTATTGTTATAATTATTACTATTGTTGTTGTTGTTGCTGTTATTGTTCTTATCATAATCATTGTTATTATTGTTATTATTTTTATTATTATTGTTATTATTGTTATTACTATTATAGCTATTATTATTATTATTATTATTAGTATTATTAATAACAGTTATTATTATTACTTTCATCATTGACTATAACGTTACGTTGTATATTGAGGTATTTACTTTATATTAGTACTTGTACTATTGTAAATTTCCTTGAAATGTTATAACTTATTTCAAAATATATTTGATTTGATTTGATTTTGATTTGATTTGTCTTATTCGTCATGTTGTCCCGCTTTCCCCTAACCCAATGATATTATTTTACCAACAGAATGAGTATACGCAATAGTAACGTATAAAAAATATAAATAATGGGACACCAACTAAAAGCCAACCTAGTAAAATATCGTAAATCCGCGTAACTAGCAATGGCTATTATATTTGGATGTTAATAATCTTATCACCAAATATCTATTGTTGACATTACAAAAAACATGAATAATAAGGACCGGCGAATATTCAGGTGAATATTTAACCTAATTATATCTAAAATGTTCTTAATGATATTTTCCTTTATAAAATTGACAGCCAAAATTTTTCAATAAACGTAAATATTTTTTTTGTTCATGTTCAAAAAATTGTAAAGATTTCATGACTAAAATTTTCAATATTACTGAAGTTTTTTTTTTTTAATAAATTAAAATTTACTTGGCTTTACTTTTTCTATGTCATGTTTTAAATTTTGGTTAACTACAAGCTAAAAAATAATAATTTTAGTTTATAAAAAAGCGCTTGATTTAAAAGTAAGAGACCTAGGGTTCGAAGCAAGCTCTAGGCATATTTCTTGCTATCGGTAAGGGAGGAGGTTTGAACTTCCTAGTTTAATAGAGTTTGCAAGAGAATAACATGATAAATCATTGCATTGAGCAACATCCCGAACTGTACCAAAATCTCCTTTCCATTGGTAACTTTTAAGTCACTGCAGGTGACTTAAAAAAATTTCTTGGCTTAGATTAGTAAAAACACTCATCTAAATATCCTCTACAATCTGTTTTAACCTAATAAACCTGCTGAAGGAGAAACAGACTGTAGAAAAGATTTTGATAAACGTTTTTAAAATTTTATATATATATATTTATAAAATTTTACATCGACTACATCAACTGACAAATAGCCTGACTCGCAAAGGAAATTAGTTTCAATAGTTCCCACATGGAGTTTGACTAAATTTGCACGCAAATCATAATTAAGTTTGTTTTTATATATAAACTCAGTTTCTATTTGATTGATGTTTTTGACGGTCATATCAGTTTGAACACTCGCATCTACTAAGTTTTCACAATCTATTGTAACATTTTCTGAGACAATTGATTCACTCCTTTTAAAATTCTCTATTTGAAAATCTACGATTGAATCTTCAGAAGGGTTTAAAATAGTGATGCTGTTTCTAAAAGACATAGAATCATTTCGACTTTTTAACAATGAACGATTTTTGTGTCGTAAGTATCTTTCTCTAGGTTTCTCAACCTCAAACTTAAACTTTTTGTGCCCCATATTTAAGGATGGAACCCAATCAGGATCATTCTGTGAGAAAAGAGAAGCAGGTTTTCCTAAATAAAAAAATAAAAATGTTAAACAGTTAATGATATTAAACTTTCAAAGTAATAAAAATATTTCAAAGGTAAAAAGGCTTATTCTACCTGTAATAAAATGATCACTGCAAATTCGAGTGTGGAGGATATCAGGATAGTTACCAACTCTGTTTATGGCATTTATCCATTTTTCTCTACGTTCTTTTGATAAAATCTTACCATCATCGCCTTGATTGCAAGCTACTTTTGGTAAACGAAAAAAAGATTTTCCCTTTTCACGATTTGAACGATTTGAACATCGAAATACAGCACAAAAGTAGACCATATTATAATTTTATTATTACAATATTTGCATATTTATATATTAAACTTTAATTTAAAATAAAAAAATGATAGTAACAAAATAAATCAGATCAGGATTTATATTTTCTTATTCTGGTTATACATTAAATTTTATAAAATATTAAATTTTTTGAAAAAACTATGAATATTATAATTAATATATTAGTTCCGCTAACTTAGTTGTCCTCCATAATGGCAGATTGAAATCAAAACAACTCTTAATTATTTCGTGACGTCGAGCTAGGAACGGTGAATATTATATATATATATGTTTATCCATACAAAGGTATAAACTTTTTTTAAATACGGCAACGAGAAAAAATTGTTTTCCGGACGAAGGAAAACAATCTTTTTTCGTCCAATCAAAATAGGGAGCCATTCCTGTATTTAACGATTAGTGTTCAGATTAGCCGCCGCCATATTTTTTTAAACTTTTAAAATTAAAATAGCTTAGTACTAGAATACCATAAAAATATCTAACTCAAAATTTTCAAAAAGTGGACATCTGTGGTTTTACCCGTGTGGTCTTCATTTGTCATAACATAGCTAGAGGTACATATTATAATTTTTTGATTTTTATATAAAGAAAGGGTTGAAATTTCAATAATTTGGTGCAGAGTTCAAAAATAATACGATTTGCATTTTAAATTGATAAAATTAAAAATATAAATGCATTGAAAACTAATTTTTTTAAATAAATTACGAACTCTGCACCAAAAATCAGTTAGAATAGACATTTATTGATAAGTATTCCAAATTTCAATCATCAAGCATGTAGCTATGTTATGAATTCTTAGTTGGCCCAATAAAGGTTTTTTATAAAAATCGCAAAAAACAGAAAAGTGATTCCAAACCAATAGCAATATTTTAACAATATTTACTTTTATTCCGTTTAATGTAAATATTTATATAACAAGAAAAGATACTTCTTCTATATATTTTTTATTTGAAGATAAAAGCGATTACAGAAAAAAAATGCTAATATTTTAAAGTTTGTACATTTCTATACTTTATATGCTGAATTTTATAAAATACTTTTTATGCGGAAATTGTTTTTGCTAAACTTGTGACGTAATACCCATTTTTACATTACCGACTTTACGAAATCTAAACGCCAACTGCAACCGGACAAAATGTTGATAATGCGCATGCGTGAGCCCAGGGTAATACCCTAGTCGCGTTTTAAAGTTCTAGGCCGGACGTAAAAATTCAAGTTTAAGAGCCGTTTTTTCTAAGAATCAGGCAAATTCCTGAAACTGTGGAAGTGACCTCGTCCAAATTGCTTGAATTTTTTATATATTGATCAGAGTATAGAGAAAACCTGTTAGGGAAAAAAAAATTTTCAAAAATGTTTCGTTCACTCGGAATCTGGGCTTAAATTTTTGAGGTTTTTTTAAAAATTTTTAGAAATTTAGTTTTTGCCACCTTTGAACCCATTTTTTTGGCAAGGCAAAAAGTTGCACATTGCTTTTGTAGTTAATATCAGACGTAACCCAAAAGCTCTCTCCAAAAAATATAAAAAAGTTGCGTGACACTGTGCGGTTGGCTAATTATCATATTTCAAAAGTACAAAATCAATCAGTTCTGTCAATTTTTAATCGGAGTTAATTCTAGCGGCGAAGTGTTGCGCACAATTTTTCTTTTAGGATTTGAAATTATCAAAGGTATTGAGTCTAAAATTGCAAAGAAAGTTATGTGATACCTAAGGCCTATTAATATATTATGGCTTGAAATTGGAAAAAAATGTTTTAGTATACTTACAAAATGAACCATTACGGCAGAGGCGCTTAGTTTTGTAAAAATGTAAACATATCCAACTGTCAATACAAAAAGGTCCTAACATAATAATAAAAAAAATTCGTGTGATTTTGTCACACGCATGATATAACATGAATTAAAAACTGAACAAAAATCTAACATCAAGATAACTATATTACTAATTAAATAAAACATAAATCAAACATTTAAATGTTTTTCCATTTTATCAGTTTGGTTATTTATCTCCTCGGTAGTAACTGGCCAGCGAAAAGTATTCTTCTCTTGCCCGTTAATCATACAATTAACTCTGATCCCAGTTATAGATACCTAAAAGTATTAGCGCAACATTTAAAATAATATAATAAAGAGTTTATGATTTGTTTAATTTTGCTTACATTCAATAAAACTTGTAAAGTCTTATATAATGTCATTCTGAAATTATTTTTACATTTTATTTATATTCCTTTTATTTTAGAGCACTGTTTTGTAAAACAAAATAAAAACTTGAAACTAATATATACTTTAAATAATATTACCTCCACAATATATCCAATATTCCATTGTTTTTCATATGCAACAGCAACCCAATCATTCACTTTCCATACAAGACAAATTTCTTTTGCAAGATTGGCGATGTCTTCCTCATATTTATTATCATCTTCATTGTCTCCTGTCAGATTAAAGTCATCATTTTCGCCATAAACTTCTTTGTTATCGTTAACCTGACTATTTTCATTATTTTCTGTTGTCGGTTCTACCAGCTTACCTTTTCTTTTCAGGTTACTAAATCTATAACAATATCAATTGTACATATTTTTAAACATATGTAAACAAACACACAAAATTATAACTTTCACCTAAATTTTAATTTCATATTTGTAAAAGAACTATTTAACAGTCAGAAACATAATCTAATTTGCAAAAGTTTTGATAGCAACAATGCCTACCTTGAAAATAAAGATCTTATCTGTTGGCTAGTTACATATTGATCAGGCGGAAGTTCTCTCCTCAGCTGCATGTGAACCTGCTCGGGGCTCATTTTATTACCTGATTCTTCTCCACGAATAAAGTATTTATACAACAGTTCTTTCTGCTGATTTGAAAATCTAAAAGAACTTCGAACTGGTAATGCCCAACCTTGCAATAGAAAAATGTTCATGCAATGTGGTTTGTCTTTTACGGAAGCACTGTTAGAGGATGAAGAAATTGGCATATTTAGTTGTGAAGTAATTTTCATCTTATGAACAAACGAGTTGCGAACTTTATCCAATGATGTCAATGATTTCGGAACTGTATGAAGACCGGATAGCATGTGTTCTTCTAACTCAGCATCGCTTTCAAATGATAAAGTACAATTCATTTCAGTGCAAAATCTTAATGAATATAATTGCCTGTCACTTCTTTTCTGTTTTTCTCTAAGTGACTTGTTACGCTTAATTGAATTATCTGTTTTGCTATATGGAAACAACAACTTTATCGAGGGTTGAATTTTAAGATTTCGATACTCTTGTTCAATTCCCTCACCGATATTGAAATAACGCCACATCTTCATACTTTTCTCACCAAACTCAAATGAGTGATAGTTGCTAATGTTCTTAATCTTTAGTCCAGTAACTACAGTTTTGTCATTGCTAATTTGAGCAACTGCTACTTTTGCATCTTTAGCGCCAAAACTATAATGCATAGCCTTGTGTATATCTTCAGCAGTCAAAAGATTATTACCAGAGTCAACGTAACTCCTTAAAATTGTCTTTACAACTGCACACTCCCTGTCACATTGATCTTTTCCACAACAGGGTTCATTATAATCATATCTCAGCAACTTTATATCTCTCTCTTTGCATACATTGTAGATTGCTTCAGCTGAAAGATTTCCCTGATAGCAGCCGGCATTATCAGATTTGGTAAACATTTTCTTGATATGCGGTTGATCAATTCTGAATTGGTCTAAAACTGCAGTGGCTAACGAAACAACATCACCTATTCCCTGATCATTGAAGTAAAGTAAACACGTTTGAATAACTTTCCTGCTATTTTTATGAAGAATATATTCACATGTAAACTCATTCCTTTCTTGCCAAAATACTCTCTTTGGCCCTCTCTGTATCGAACCGGAAGAATTTTTTGACAAAAATCTTTAAGCCAGAAAGCAGTTTCATCGTTTAATTGCTTAAAAGCTTCGATTTTTGCCTTTTTCTGTTGAGAATCTCTCATCAGGTGTTTTATGTAGTTGAATACATCCTTTACAGTAATTTCCAAATCATAAATAGAATCAGCATCGTCAGAATTTTGAATTGTTAGTTCTTTGATCATCTCGATAGCATTGCACAAATCATAGCAATCGGCACATACCACTTCTGATATCTCTGTGTTGGATTGAAGATTTTTTTTAGAATGATCTGATAAGGCATGTTTTGAGCTATGAGAAGAAATGTTTGAGTCATTGACACTACAATTGGTTTGATAACTTGTTTTCAAATACCTTTTTCCTTTTTCAAGGGCAGCTTCGAGAGATTTAGAACTAAATCTTTGTGCCAATTTTTGTAATGTTTGAAAACCATTCATGCCTGAAGCAGTAACATCATCTAATCCAGCTAAGCTTTTTCGACTTGAAGGTTTTATTGCATGCAATACTTTCCACAAACTTGAATCAGATAATGGTATATAATTGTTTTCACTACAACTTTTTCGATAGAACATGATAGCGTGGCTATATTTTGTCGTCAGTATTGCATGCACTATCTTTTGTTCTTCACCGCTGTCGTATTTTAATTTGGTTATTCCATAAGCAACATCATGCAAAATACCGCTTGTAAATATAGTTCACACTTTGTTTGATCAAGACTATATCGGACGAATACTTTCTTTTCTGGAAATGCCAACCCTTTATGAGATACATGCCATTTTCTTGCTGTTTCTTTACGATGTTTGGTACACTCAAATGTGTTCACTATAAACTTTTTGGTATACTTGGTATGGTCTAATAATAAGAGGATAACTAACTTTCCCATGGAATTACTTTGCTTATATACTTTCTGAGCACGAATAATTTCAATTGGGAGAGGGCTATTTATTTCATCAACATTTTTACTGTTAAGAAAATCTATAAGTATTTCTTCTTGTCCAGGAGCAACAGCTTCCTCAAATTTTTTCTTTAATAAGTTTTCTAGGCAAACATACTTGCGTTTTAACTTATCTTTAGTAGTATCTTCCAGATATTCGAACTTCCTTTTTAATCTAAATTTTATTGGACTTGCATTAAGAACCTCAGTTACACTCTCACGGCTTCTTAGAGATTCGTCCAAAATCTCCTGTGAAACATTAATTTCACCGGGATCAAATTCTTCATCTGGAGTAGCAGGTGTCATATATGTTTGTTCTTGTTGTGTTTGTGTTTCTGTACATAAATTGGTGTTTTCGTTGACTCTAGATAAAGCAGTTTCTTGCTTTAAATGGGTAAAACACAGCATTGCACCAACTGAAAGTACTTCATTGTATCACTTTGACATTGATATGACGACATGTATTGGTGACGCCCTTAAAGCGGGAGATTTTTTTCCTTTTATATTTAGATGGTGAGGATGAAAGCATGTTTTTGGAGGACTCTATGCAATACCAAACGTGCACCGGTGAAAAGCACATATTTGTTCATCCTTTTCAAGATTTCTTTTAAGTCTATTTGCAATAAGTCCATTTTCTTCCCAAATATTATTATCGTTTAATCGCATGACCTAAAAACAATTTTTTAAACAATTATTAAGTGTGTCATTTAAAGCATTGTTTATAATCTGACTCTTCACGAAAAATGTTTACAAGTTTGAAATACATTGTTGTTGTTATTAAAATACAATATTGCAATAGTGTGATTAATTTAGTTATTATTTATTAAAAGAGTGAGGAATTAATTAAAAGAGCTATTTTTTTTTGTTTAAAGAACTTTGTCTCAAAATCTTATTGCAGAGAAGTTATAAAGTATGTAATTATAAAATTTATATTACAGTCTGCGTAAATTTAAAATACATAATTACCTTTAAGTTGATGAGGTGTTTCTTAACATCAACATATCTCAGCTGATGAATGTAGAACATTTTGTTTATAATTTTATGTTTTTTGAATGATTCACAATTACCTTTTGAAAAGCAACAACAGTTTTCATAAAAATATTTGTTTTGTTCCATACTCAACTAAAAATAAGTTCTATTTATGCAGTACCTATTTCTCAATAGCAATGATAAAATATCTACTCTATTTATGCAAATTTTAAAGATCGTTAAAATAAAGTTAAGACATTTTTATGGTAAAGTAAACAACCGCCTACTAACTTGTTTCTCCACAATCGTGATATCAGCGATTCTGCTTCCATTCGATCACCACAAGTTATTTGGTTATGACGTAAATTTAAATAATTCACTTCTGATCATGTATTGTTTTTTATTATTATTTATTTCAATTGTTATGATTTCTATATCATAGTCAGAAACGCTTAAATTTTTTCTTAACATTACGTGCAATGTTTTGTGTAATGCTAATTGCTAATTTTGGATGATAGAAATTTTATTGTGAGCGAAAACCTCATCTGTGTGTCCAAAAAAATATCTCTTCGTACTTAATCATTTTTAACAATTTATTCCTTTATTTTTAACTTAATATCTAAAGATCACATGAGTTTTTTTTTAAACTATGTTAGGGTCATCTTATATTGACCATTTAACATGATTATATTTTTACAAAACTTAGCGCCTCTGCCGTAATAGCTCATTTTGTAAGTATACTATAACATTTTTTTCCAATTTCAAGCCTTAATATATTAATAGGCCTTAGGTATCACATAACTTTCTTTGCATTTTTAGACTCAATACCTTTGATAATTTCAAATCCTAAAAGAAAAATTGTGCGCAACACTTCGCCGCTAGAATTAACTCCGATTAAAAATTGACAAAATGATTGATTTTGTACTTTTGAAATATGATAATTAGCCAACCGCACAGTGTCACGCAACTTTTTTATATTTTTTGGAGAGAGCTTTTGGGTTACGTCTGATATTAACTACAAAAGCTATGTGCAACTCTTTGCCTTGCCAAAAAAATGGGTTCAAAGGTGGCAAAAACTAAATTTCTAAAAATTTTAAAAAATACTCAAAAATTTAAGCCCAGATTCCAAGTGAACGAAACATTTTTGAAAATTTTTTTTCTCCCTAACAGGTTTTCTCTATATTCTGATCAATATATAAAAAATTCAAGCAATTTGGAGGAGGTCACTTCCATTGACTGCCTGATTCTTACAAAAAATGACTTAAGCGTTGCAGTGAAAACGTGAAATAGTTATGATAACGTCACAAAGTTTTTGTGGTTTTTAAATTTATATCGTTAAGTCGGCTAATTATTTTTATTTTAAATCTGAATTATCAACTTTACATATGTGTGCTCTAATGCTCTTATAGCGCAGTTTATCTTTGTTATGGAATCTTCATGTGGATCAATTACAACATCTTCAGCAAGGTAATATAACTATATGTAAAATCTGACTGTCATACAAATCTGTGATTTATATTGTATAAGTAATGATTTTTAATAATTTAATTGATATGTTTATTAAAATAACAATTTAACTATAAAATGTTTTATTTTTTAGTTCAATGCGATGGACTCAGCTGCATGATTACACATTATTAATGGAGGTTTTGACCTTCGAGCCATGGCAGTTTAAACGTGGTTCAAAAGAAAGAGGAGATTCATGGGAAAAGATATCCAACTCTCTTAATGGATTACCAGAACCTTATTTTAAAGTTACTGCTAGATCAACTCGTGATCACATTAACCTTTTGATTGAAAAGTTTTAAAAAAAAGATACAAAAGAAAAAAATGCAAGTGGAATTACATGTGACTTGACAGATTATGATGTGGCTATTGCTGATGTCTATGAGAGATTTCAGCAATCTGAAAGTATTTTTAAAGAGCAATTAGAGTATAATAATGGAAAGATTGATGTGGATAATGTTCAAGCAATAGAAATGCGTAAAAGGTCATTAGAGACACATAATGAAACTGAAAAGCGAAACAAAGGACAAGAACTCTTAAAAAAGTCAAGAAATAATAGCAATGAAACTATTGCTTATTTAAAAGAGAAGAATGAAATAGAAGTAAATATTAGAAAAGAAGAACTGGAAATTAAAAAAAGAGAAGTTGAAGCACAAGCAAACACAATGCAACACATTCTGCAGCAGCAAAATACCTTGATGCAGCAACAAAATAACATGATGCAGGCTATGATGCAACAGCAAGCATCTTTTTTAGAAATTTTAAGCAAATTTTTACCAGAAAAAAAATAAAGTTATTTGTGTACACTTTTATATATTTCATGAAAAAATTATTTAAAGTAGTCTAAAAGCGATGGTGGTTGGCAATCAAAATATGTTGTTGTTGTTGAACCATATAGGCAAACACGTGCATTGTGCATTAATGCACAAACCAAATACATTTTAGAAACTGGACTAAGTCCCACTTAAAGATTCTTTTTAAAGTCTAAAAATTTAAAATAGTTAACAATATCTCCAAATACCCACTCAACACTGAGTTGTTTCTTGCTAGACTATCTGAGTTTTATCTAGATTACTAAGTTTAACACAATGTTTGATTGATACAATTTTGAAGTGTTATAAGCACCTGTGTTTTAATTTCTTCTTTCTAATATTCAGTTTCTTCTAAAAACAATTGCAGAAATTCAATGTTTTGTTATACTAGTTGGGAAGACCAAATCATATGTTTTAGTGTCTTTTGTTTAACCAAAGGCTTTATTAGGTTTATTTATTATTTCCAAACCAAAGGCTTTATACTTAAATTTGATCTGTTGGAAGTTTAGATGAATTTCACTTAATTGCCTGAATTTCAAAAATGAACTTTAATCTAATAATACTGAAACATTACAAGCAACAAACCTTTTTAAGTTTGTTATAAATACTTATGAGTTGTATTTTAAATAAAATTCAAATACGATAAAAGTATAACTTCAAATGTTTGAGCTGCTTTTTGGTAAACAGCTATTTTCATAGCTGACATCTTTGTAAAAACATTTAGCATTTTATCATTGTCACAAGTTATTTAAAGAATAAAAACATTTTTATAAAATACACTCAGTCCGGTTAAAATCCGGTCCCCCTTCTCCTCTCTAAAAAAATAGGTAGGCAGAGGGTTTTTTTTTTTTTTTTTTGGACTTACCCAAAAAATTTCCTGTACACGCCCCTGTTTAAACGCACTTGTTTTTTTAAAAGTTAAGGTATGTTTAAAGTGATACAATGAGAAAACATGAGGCAGAGTCCAAGTTTTTTTTTTTTTTTAATTTTTAGTCGATTATTAAGAAAAAAAAAAACTTTGAATAAGAAAAACACAAAATCTTTTCTGAAATTAAACAACAAACTCAAGTAATCAAAAGATTACTTAGAAGAAAGTGCAATAAAGTTTAAACGCACCTACAACTTCTTTTAATCGAAATATATTAATACGGAATATGACCCCCGTTGTTTTTAATACATGCTTGTATTCGCCTTGGCATTGATTAAATTAAGTTTTCAATCATCTTGATTGGTATTTCAAGCCACAGTTTGGTCAGTTCTTGTTTGAGCATTTCGTGACTAGTTATTTGCTTTTTTGTTAGTTCATAATCCATCCAGCTCCATAAATTTTCAATTGGGTTTAAGTCTGGTGATCGTGCTGGCCAAGGCATAAGTTAAATATTACTTTTAAGGAAATAATCAGTGATTGAATGCGCTGTATGGCATGGAGCATTGTCTTGTTGAAATAACCAGTTTTGATCAGCCTGGAACAAATCGCGACTAGAAATAAGCGCGTTTTCCAAAATGTCACAATACTCATACTGGTTTAATCTTCCTTCGTATATTTTATGACAGTCAACGCCTGAGCCTGATATACATCCCCATATGCCGACGGAACCACCGCCTTTTTGAATACGGCTTAATAGGTGTTGGTTCAAATATTTTTCTGTATTTTTGCGACGAACAAATCTCTTGTTTTTTCTGTTAATAATTTCGAAATTTGATTCATCACTAAAGATAATCATTTTCCATTGTTCTACTGAATAATTTAAACGCTCTTTGCACTATTTTTTTTGTCTTTGACGATCGGTTAACGTCAACAAAGGCCTTCTTACACAATGAAACGAATTTAATTCTTTCTTGCGTAATAACTTACTTATAGTCATTCGACTAACTATTTTGTCTACCAGCAAACTATTGATCTCTGCACTTAAAGTTGATACTCCCGCTTTTGGGTTACGTCTGCTTACCATGTAAAGCATGTTTTCATCGCGTGCTGTCATTTTTTTCGGACGCCCAGTACGAGATTTATCATTGACACTACCAGTTTATAAATAATTTTTTGTTGTTGTACGAACGCTGAATTCAGAAATATTTAGGCGTCTGCCAATTTCTCTATTGCTTATTTTCATTTTATGCATTCCAATGACTTGCCATTTTGTTTTCGACGAAACAGCTTTTTTACCCATTAATATATGATATTTTGACAAAGCTGTATCAGTTGAAAATGATTTTTAAATCAAATCGTATTTTTGGTTTTTATTCTAAATAAAATAACAGGCTGTTGAGTGATAAAAATGCAAAAGACTTCAATAATAAAATCTCTCAATAAACGAGAATTACGCTTTTTCTTATCAAAGTGCGTTTAAATTTTATTTCAAAAAATTGAAAGGAGTTAATTGCTCCGTTACTTTTCTCATCACTCTCCACCTCCGTTATAATATCCGTACAGGTTTTTTTTTTATCTAAACTAATAAATTATAGTCATAGTATAAATAAACATAAAAATACAGAGCATATTTCATTAATTTATCGAGTTATCATTTCTTAAAAGTATTATATAAGTTAAAAAAACAAGTGCGTTTAAACTTTCTGTTCAAGGTGTATATATATATATATATATATATATATATATATATATATATATATATATATATATATATATATATATATATATATATATATATATATATATATATATATATATATATATACATACAGTAGCTTTCATAAATTTA